GAAGCATTTTCTCAGAACACAATGGCATATTAGAAATTATAATAAAAACAATAAAAAATTCTAATCTGAGAGATGCAAATCAAAACAATTAAACAATGATTGTGTTACCAAAGAGATCAAAGAAGAAATTAAAACCATCCTGGAAGTGAAAAACTGGGACAAAATCTGTGGGACACAGTGAAAGCAGTCATGAGAGGGAAGTTTATAGCTCTACAGGCCTACCTCAAAAAACAAGAAAAAATGGTAGTAAATCATCCAACTCTACAACTTAAAGAATTAGAGAGCAACAATGGAAGCCCAGAGGACAGAAGGAAGGAGAAAAAGGAACCCTTGTGCACTGCTGGTGGAAATGCAGACTGGTGCAGCCACTATGGAGAACAGTATGGAGTTTCCTCAAAAAATTGAAAATGGAATTTCCATTTGATCCAGTGATCCCGCTTCTAGGAATATATCCCAAGAAACTAGAAACACCATCAGAAAGGATATATGCATCCCTATGTTTATAGCAGCACAATTTACCATAGTTAAGATTTGGAAACAGCCTAAGTGCCCATCAGCAGATGAGTGGATTAAAAACCTGTGGTACATCTACACAATGGAATACTACGCTGTGGTAGAAAAGAAGGAATTCTTACCATTTGCAACAGCATGGATGGAACTGAGAGCATTATGCTAAATGAAATAAGCCAGTCAGAGAAAGATAAATATCCCATGATCTCACTCATTTGTGGAATATAATGAACAACATAAACTGATGAACAAAAACAGATCCAGAGACAGAGAATCATCGATCAGACAGTCAAACTTCAGAGGGAAGGTAGGGGAGGGTAGGGGTAAGGGGGAGAGATCAACCAAAGGACTTGTATGCATGCATATAAGCCTAACCAATGGGCACAGACACCAGGGGGGCGAGAGCAGGAGTGGGGAGGGGTGGGAAGCAATGGGGGGATAAGGACACATGTAATACCTTAATCAAAAAAAAAAAAAAAAAAAAAGAATTGCCCTGCCCCAAATGTCAGTAGCATCTTACAGAGAAACACTATTCTCTAAGATAATCGTTTGTTTTCTCTTCTCTACTTTGAATTAATATTAGACATCTGGTAAATTCTTGGTCATTTTGTTAGCTGCTGAATAATCTCTGCCCTGAAGGAGTTTTTTAGTAGAGATGGTAGACTTCTCTAATTTTTGAATTAGTATGTCTAACAAGTTCTTAAGTGATGTGTGAAAAGTATAACAATATTTTTATTTTATTTGAAATTTTTCTATTGATTTGAGAGAGAGAATGAGGGAGGGAGAGAGAGAGAAACATCTATGTGACAGTGAAACAGTGATGGGCTGCCTCCTACATGCCCTCTGATTGGGAATCAAACAGGCAACCATTGGTTCCCAGGACGATGCCTAACCAACAAGGCCATACCAGCCAGAGCTATTTGATTTTTATATTTCTGACCAGGGATCGAACCTACAACCTTGGAGTATTGGGACAGTGCTCTAACCAATTGAACAATCCAGTCAGGGCTTGAAAAGTATATTTTTGAAAATAAATATCTCTTAAGGTATAGAGACAGTGAGAGATTTCTTTGAGGCTATGTAGCTTTGACATTTGCATTGTTTTGGGAATTATGAGGGAAGACTGCCCATCATGAGGCTCAGACAGGAGATAATGTATACTATAGTCAGGGAACTGCAAGTAGTTTGGCACTATTAGGAAATAGAGTGTAAGTTAGAGTAGCAGTTGGAGAGGTGATATATACCATGTGAAGCTTGGTCTTTAGAGTGAGAGGGGTTATCTGGGATGCTAGTTAATATGCAGGTTTTTAGACTACTTTTCAGACAGTCTGACTTGATAAGGGTGCAGTCTGATATTTTCTTTTTATTTGATCGCATTTGCAAAAAAAAATTCAAATTGAATTTTGATAATCCATTAAGGGTTGTGATCTTCAATTTGGAAAGCATTTATTTAGATTTTAAAGCAGCAATTCTCGCTTTAGCATGCATCAGAATAACCTGGACAGGTTATTAAAAGAGATTTGTGGCTCCACCCCCAGAGTTACTGATTCAGTAGGTCAGGGGTGGTGCCTGAGAATTAGAATGTCTAACAAGTTTTTAAGTGATGTTGACGCTGTTGGCCCCAGGATTGCATTTTGGGGACCACTCATTTATAGAAGATCGGCTGTAAGGACAAATTTCCACTGGGATGTACTCTGTGAGGTCCAGGGATTTTTGTTAGACTTGTTCACTGTCTGTTCTCAATGCCACTAACAGTGTCTAGCATAATTATATTTAGGATGTATGACTTGATGTGGAGAACTCAGTGAGCTCAGTATTACTTTGCAGTAGTGCTGGTGGGGAGTAAAGGACTTGAACCAGGGCCATAATAGCAGAGGTAGATTGGAACAGTGCTTTGGAAAGGAAATTGACAGTAATGAGGGCGATTTGGGGTGGATTCTGACTCATAGGTCATTGACTTGGAAGGTTAGGTGAGTGGTACCCAGCATTAGCAACACATAATATATATTCATTTAGAATTTGCCATTACCATGGATGCTTCATGAGGTGGGTCACATTGCAGTGGGTAGACCAATTGGAGATGATAAAATTGAAGCATTAAATTTTAAAAATATGGTTTAAATTTAATGCTTAGTATAGTTTTTTCACTTTGACTTTTAGCTCACAGAAGCTAGTTTTTTTGTTTGTTTTTATCCTCACCCAAGGACATGCTTAGGGAGAGAGAGAGAGAGAGAGAGAGAGAGAGAGAGAGAGAGAGAAAGAGAAAGAAAGAAAACCAAACATCTTAGAGAGAAACATTGATCGGTTGTATTCTGTATGCGCTCGGACCAGGAATCAAACCTGCAACCCAGGCTTGTGCCCTCACTGGGAGTTGAACCAGCAGCCTTGATGACACTCAACCAACTGAGCCACTCTGAAAGGACAGAAACTACTTTTTATGGACTGCATTAAGTGCCTATTTGCTACTGTGTGCAGTGTTAGGTGGCCACTTTACAGAGATGGATCAGGCACAACATGGGCTCCCAAAAAGTAGTCCTTTGTACCTTGGGAAGAACCCTAGCTGTTTTTAGTCTGGGACTTACAGAGACTTAGATTTATTAGCTGGAAGTGAGTTTAGATGTATAATCTAATTCAGCTTGTTCTCTTTTAGATGAAGAAAATGCTCAAGAAAGATAAATTATTTGCCAAAGCCAATTAGTGGCCAAACCAGAACTAACTGGGTTCCTGACTTCTGGTGTAATGCTCTAATATTACCATAATTGTAATTTTAATAATTAACATTTATTGAGCACTGACTGCTTGACTGTGAGAAATGTTTTACATAGATATCTTATTTAGGCCTCACAACAACCCATGAGATAGATACTGTTATTGTCTCTATAAGAACAGTCTTTAGGCAGGCCTAAATACTAAACATGATAGGGGAATGGTTGATCTGGGAAATTGACCTTTAGTTTACTTTTTTATTACGTCATTAGAGGTGTGCTGGAATTGCTAGTAACATATAGATACAAATCTAGAACAGGTGGAGGTGTCAGGAGATTATAAAAATCCCTATAAGTATGTCAAAGGGAGCTTCTTGAAGGATCTGATAGAAGCCTCTCAGGTGATTTAAGCAATATCCCAAGATTAGATTTTGGGGAAGAAAACAAAGTGTATGTATATGTATATGTATGAACAAAATGACTGAATTAAATTTCATTATATGTTTAAGGGATAGTTTGTAACTTTTTATTAAAATTTTTTTAAGTTGCCGAAACCGGTTTGGCTCAGTGGATAGAGCGTCGGCCTGCGGACTGAAGGGTCCCAGGTTCGATTCCGGTCAGGGGCATGTACCTGGGTTGTGGGCACATCCCCAGTGGGAGATGTGCAGGAGGCAGCTGGTCGATGTTTCTCTCTCATCGATGTTTCTAACTTTCTATCTCTCTCCCTTCCTCTCTGTAAAAAATCAATAAAATATATTTAAAAAAAAATAAAATAAAAATTTTTTAAGTTGATTTGAGAAAGAGAAAAAAACCCCACATTGATTTATTGTTCCACTTTTTTATGCATTCATTGGTTGATTTTTGTATGTGCCCTGACCAGAGTTCTAACCCACAACCTTGGCATATCAGGATGATGCTCTAACCAACTGAGCTACCTGGCTAGGGCTAGTTTGTAACTTTATTTGCCAATTTCTTACAAGGGTTGAGGCTCTCTAGATTGAACACTACCTGATAGAGAAGAAATGTGTTAGGGAGAAAGATGGAATAGTTGTAAATATTTTCTTTTCCTTCTTTCTTTTGCTCACTTCTGATTTTTTTACTTGGTCACAGAAATTCTCTTAGGAAGCGATGAGAACAATAGAAATGGCTAAGCAGAAAAAGATTGTCATTGTCATAATGCAAGAGAGGAGGGGAAGTTGAAGAATTGTGGAGGGTTAAGAATACCTCTAAAAGCATTAGGCATTCCCCCCCCCCCCCCCCCCCGCCCCAATATGTAGAATTAGAGAGATGGAAAGTTGGGCTTCTCTAACTTGAGGATTGCCTTGTTAATGTTTCTCATTGTGCAGATCAGATAGGATGTATTTATGTTTTGTATGCTATTTAAGAGTTAGAAAACATTGTATTAAGGAAAGATTTCCATGGAAATAGTTAATAATAGATTTAGTATAGAAAAGGATTTTCTTTGATTACTAAAAATTTGCTTATATAAAATATGTCTAATAATTAATGAATTACCATAGAAAGTTTGTTGAAATATAAAAAGAAACAAAAAATTATTTTGTACTCTGAGGTAGCAAAAATGAGGTTAGATACCTAAAAAGTTAGTTTTTATTGATGCATACACTTGGGTAAAAAAGATTTGGTTGATTTTTGTAGTTGTATCAGTTTTGAAAATGGAAGGATTTTATAAACAGACTAATAAATAAACAAAATACGTTATGACCATATGTCCAGAGTTATCTTCCCTGACTTTTACTTATAAATCTTTAATGTTCTTTGTCTTAGCTATGGGAGAATAAACTAATGCAGTCTAGGGCAGTAGATGGATTTCATTCAGAAGAGCAGCAGCTTTTATTGCAAGTTCAACAGCAGCATCAAACCCAGCAACAGCAGCATCACCATCACCACCACCACCAGCAAGCTCAACCACAGCCTACGGTACCTCAGCAAGCGCAGACTCAGCAGGTCCTTATTCCTGCATCACAACAAGGTGAGGAGACTAGATATGTTTTCCTACTTACAACTTGGAGATGAAATTTGTCATTTTCAAAGAAGAGAAATACTCTGGGTTTCTCATTTCTATTGGTTGAGGAGGGTATATATGTTTGTATTAACATAAATTTGTATGAAATGTGGATCCTGTTTATATAATAATGATAAGTAATTCACTAATTACTTATTAGTGAATAATAAATTCACTAATTGAAAGCCTAACATATTCAGATAAGTCTATTGATACTTTCTTCTGAAAAGGCTACATAATGGTGGATTTCCTAAAATAAGTCAGATCTGTAAAGGTTTATTTACTGTTTCATTGTTTTATGTAGTTAAAATCATGGTCAGCTTTCTTTATGAAACTGATTTGTTCCTTCAAAAACATATTTGAGTTTAATCTTTGTAAATAAAAGCATCTTTGTAAATAAAAGCAAATATTAGAAGGACTTAATTAAACATAGAGGATTTTTATAACTATACTTTGGCAATATGAAATTTCAATTTCTTAGTAATTATGTAAGTCTAAATAGAATTAGATTTCTTTTCAGTGAAGAGTGGATATATAACATTTTAATGTAAGAAAAAACAAGTATTTACAGATTGTGTCAATACTGCTTTGTACTCTGCAAGTCATTTTATAGATTTTGTTTCATTGAAGCCTTACAAAGGCTTTGTGAAGTAGCTCTTACAACATTTCAAAGTTGAGGAATATCAGCCTTGAAAAAGCTAACAAGCTTGATTGTTACATATAGTAAGTATTTTTGTCATGACAAATTGTAGAGTAGTCCTCCCTTATAAGCAGTGTTGCTTTTTGCAGTTTCAGTTACCTGTGGTCAACTGTGGTTTGAAAACATTAAATGGAAAATTCCAGAAATAAAGAATGCACAAGTCTTAAATTGTGTGCCGCTCTGAGTAGCATGATGAAATCTCGAGCTGTCCTGCTTCGTACTGTCTGGGATGTGAATTATTCCTTTGTCCAGTGATCCATGCTTTATACGTTGCATATGTAATAGCTCTCTCAGTTATCAGATTATATCCCCCTCAGATGAGGGCAGACTACTGTATTCCGTTATAAAACCACCCGGGCATTCCAATGTTGTAAATCTTGTTATTGGAGAGGGGAATGAAGGTAAATGAAAATATTATTTTAAGGTAACTGTTTAGTTACCTATTTACCTCATTTGAGAATACAGTGGGGCCTTGACTTACGAGTTTAATTCATTCCGAGACTGAGCTCGTTAAGGAGCTCGTTAATTCAAATTACTCTATCAACTCAATGCAAAAAATCGGCCGAGAGACAGCTGGTATCTCAAAAAGCTCGTTAGTTGGGACACTCGTAAGTCAAGGCCCCACTGTATATAGATGGTGATGCATAGCAGAAATGTCTATTTGGGTTATTTTACTGATTATATCAAATAAGACTTCTAATACTTGGTTTTATTCTATACCTTGCTTCAAATACTTTTATCCTTTCAATCTGTTTTGATGACTGTTCCTCCTATTGCCTTCAGCCCTGGCACTAGGATTTTAGGTCATCATATATTAAAATCTGATTTTCTTCACTCAGAGAATATTAGGATGATGGGATTATCTGTTTATTCTCTGAAATTTGCGGAATCAAACACTTAATTCCTTTTACACTTAAGTAATGTTGCCATTATTTTTGATTTGTATTTTTCGGAAGTTGATGGAAAAACTAAGATTCTTGCCCCTGTCAAATTGAAAGAAAAGGGCTATGTAAATTAAAAAAAAAATACACACCTAATTCTTTAACTTTTTGAACTCACTCTTAAAGGGTTAATAACTCATTTCATTATGTCAATAAAATGGTTTAATGCTAAGTTAGCAAGACAAGTTTAATAAGTTCAAGTTTAAGAATGCAAGAAATGTATATGTTTAGGTTATAGGTAGGTATCTCACTACTTGTTCCCAGGTTTCCTTGAGTCCTTTGGTATAGTTACTTAAATCTTTTTTTTTTAATTGTTGTTTTCCAGTAGAAGGTGAGTAGTAACACAGTTGTTTTTTACCATAGAAATTTATGACATTCTGAGATATTAGATGGTTGAGTGCAGTTGTTTGAAGACAATGTGGAAAGCATTAAAAAAGTTTTCAGCATTGTTTAGTGTTCTTATGATTATGAAATAGCCTCATGGTTCCTTGTTCACATGTATGCTTGTGTTTTTAATAGCAGCAGCACCACAAGTTATTGTTCCTGATTCTAAGCTGATACAGCATATGAATGCATCAAATATGGTAAGAGTCAGAACATAGCACTATGTTTGGCTCAACTTATTCTAACTGAAATTGTGATTATGCCTAAGTAGATTGTATATTGGCAAAGTTTATTCAAGGCCTGAGCAAAATGGCTGTTTTATTTGGTTTCCTAAATACTGGATTTAGAAGTAAATCTAAAGTTTAGCTTGCTACTTGGAACTTGAGAATCATAAAATCATGAGAGGGGAATACCAAAAGAGTGATGCTTTGTGGGAGCTATTTCAGTCCCTGCTATTTTTGGAAAAGAGGTTTAGGGGACCTACCAAACTTATTATGCTAATTATAGTTCATTTGCAAAAGATCCATTGTTAAGATCTATTAATTGCAAGATGTCAGGAATGCTACGAATTAAAAACTTAAAAAAATGTTTAGGTACTTCAAAACACTATTTTTAAGATCAAGCATTTAAAAAAATGTTGTTAAGATTTAACGATAGCATAGCCTAATAAGTTTTATTACAATATACAAATTACTACTTTAAAATGCATTTTAACCAGTTGCAGTTATTATACACTAGAGGCCTGGTGCACAAATTCGTGCACGGGTAGGGTCCCTCTGGGTGGCCTGCAGGGATCTGGCCGAAACCCACAGTCCAACGTTGCCTACAGCTCCTACCTGCCACTCCTGCTCATTCTGGCCCCACTGTGCCTGCTGAGATAGATCGGGAGAGGCTCACTCTACCACAGCAGCGCTCGCCAGCCATGAGCCCTGCGTCTGGTGCCCTCCCAAGGGGAGTGGTCTGCGGGATTGGGCTGAAACCAGCTCTCTGACATCCCCTGAAGGGTCCTGGATTGTGAGAGGGCACAGGCCAGGCTGAGGGACCCCACCCGTGCACGATCGGGCCAGGGAGGGCTCCAGGGTGTATCCACCCCATCTCGCTCTGTCCCGATTGGCCGGACCCCAGCAGCAAGCTAACCTACCAGAGGATCTGCCCCTTGGTGGTCAGTGCACGTCATAGTGACTGGTTGACCAGTTGACTCTCTGCCCCCTGGCAGTCAGTGCACGTCATAGCGAGCGGTTGAGCAACCTTAGCATATCATTAGCATATTATACTTTGATTGATTCGGTTGTTCTACCATTCGGTCTATTTGCATATTACCCTTTTATTATATAGGATTATTACATAGGATTAGACTTTAGATACTTCTAATGGATATCCACAGAACTTCAAAGGTTGTCAAGTATTCAAATTTTACTTAGGGCAGATAATATTTTCCATCAAATGTAGTATAGTATAGTAGTAAAATTGAAAGACCCCTCCCTTCAGATCCTTGAAAAGTCTTTTTTTATATCCTTAAAGATTAAAAATAAAAATAAAACAGTAGAGTAGTTGTTCTAGCACTTTCTCATAAATAGCTTTTCTTTGTTTAAAATATATAGATTGGCCCTGACCAGTTTGGCTCAGTGGCTAGAGCGTCGGCCTGTGGACTGAAGAGTCCCAGGTTCGATTCCGGTCAAGGGCATGTACCTTGGTTGCGGGCACATCCCCAGTAGGGGGTGTGCAGGAGGCAGCTGATCCATGTTTCTCTCTTATGGATGTTTCTAACTCTCTATCCCTCTCCCTTCCTCTCTGTAAAAAAATATAAAAAAAATATATTAAAATATATAGACTGTAAGTGGTATCTTAGCTGTGGCATTTTATTCTTCAACTTAGCCAAATCTTTAATTTAAAGGTTAGAATCATTATTTAAAAAAAAAATCTATTAACCCAGTGCTAGCAATGATATGTTTTTTTTCAGATCCAGTTTTTTTATTTTTATTTTTTTAAAGAAAAAGCAATATTTTAAAAAACGATGTAGATTTGGTGAGTGATGAGTAGTGAGCCTCAAAGCTCAGTTGTGATTTATAGGCCAGATAGGAAGCAGGGTTCACCTACTAGACAAATGACTTCTTTATGTATACCAGCCTTATAAATTCATAACTTGGCAGAATTGCAAATTGTACATGGAAGTAGAGATTGTGATTTTAAAATTCTCGAAAAATCAGGGATTCCTATTTGTGTTTTCAGTTCAAGTTGTTGGCATCAGTTTTTTTGTATGAAAATCATACAATCCCATGCCTAGTATTTCTCACAGGAATTTTTATTATTTGAAAAATATTTATTTTGAATCCAAGGCCCCAAGTTAACCTTCGCCCTTAAAAATAAAAGTCTCACTGTGGGATTCATATTGCAGGTAGTACAATTGGGATTGTTTCCTAGAGAATAATTTATGTCATTTTAAAACAAGTTTGGTAAAAATCACTTGTAGTAGTAGGCTCATCTAATTTTGAAGATTTTTTTTTGTTTTGTTTTGTTACTCCTCACCCGAGGATATTTTTAGGAAGAGTAGAAGAGAAAGGGAAAGACAGAGAGAAATATCGATGTGAGAGAAACACATCTATTGGTTGCCTCCGGCACAAGCCCTGACCAGGGCCCAGGCTTGGGAGGAGCTTGCAACCAACGTATGTGCCCCTGACCAGAATCAAACCCGGGACCCTTTGGTCTGCAGGCCAACGCTCTGTCCACTGAGCCAAACCAGCTAGGGCTAATTTTGAAGATTTTTGAATACTGTGGGAGAGAATGTGTTTAAAGAGACCTGGGCAAAGTCAGTGGCCTATCTCTTACTGATTTTGTTACGCCTACTTGATTCTGCAGAGCATGCCTATTTTTAGATCAGAGTTTAGAAACTTCAGTCAATAAAATGTTTTAGCATTTATGTTGTGTATTTCAGCATTTTACTTGATGTTTTCAGTATTTGCTCCATGTATTTGGCATGTTCTGAAGCATAATCAGTATAAGCTTTTTACAAATAAAAGTGTTTTTTAAGAGTTAAGAGTTTCCATTATTATTTCTGATTTAAAGATATCCATTAAAACAGTTTTGATTTTTTAAATATATTTTTTATTATTGATTTTAGGGAGGAAGGGAGAGGAAGAGAGAGAGAGAAACATCAATGCTGAGAGTGAATCATTGATTGGCTGCCTCCTGCATGCTCCACATTGGGGATTGAGCCCACAATCCATGTGTGTGCCCTGACCGGGAATCGAACCATGACCACTGAGTGACGCTGGCCAGGCCCAGTTTTGATTTTTTAAATGACTCTGCTTTGGAAATGAACATAAATAATAATCATGTAATTTTGTAAATATATGGTATAGTGATATTAGGTAGAGCACTATTTCAGGGAACTTAGAAAACTACTTTATATCAAACCAGTTTTGCAAGTTATTTTTTATGAAATGCTCTAATGCATTATTTATGGTAGGGATACTTCATAAAATACAGGAAGAAATTTTCGGTAGACATTGATAAAAGATGGTTTCTATGTGGTACATCACTCAACAGATATTTATTAATAGCAACTTGAATGTGCAGAGATGTGTGCAGGTGGCAATTCTGTCATATGCTGCATGGAAACTACTGTGAGTTTGCCTGTGAAGGGAGATATATTAATCTTATATGAATTATAGGCAATTAATATTTCTCAATAACAAGTGGTTGTTAATATATTCCTAAAACGTAAATTACCTTTCATTTGTCTATACAGGCTAGATTTATTTGAAATTGGGTAATTGGATATCCTGCATTTGATAAAGAGAACTTGGAGGGCTATAGCTGGATTCTAGGAACTAGTGGGAATTTCAGACCTAAGATGTCAAAATTACGTAGGCCTATCAAGTGGCGACAACAAGCATATTTTCTTGGAGAGCTATACCTAGAGCCTAGACTAGATAGTAGTTGTATCATTAACCTACTTGAGAATAATTTTCTAAGTTTTATTGGCTTCTGCGTTAGCATCTCCTAGCCACAGTTCTATTTATTTCTTAAAAAGCTTCTATTCAAATAGAGGTGTTTCTAAAAAATGTATAGATTAGATTGGGTTATATGAAAGCTTGGTACCTTTAAAAAATTGAAGGGGGAGGGGAAAAATCTACCTATATATAATTATAGTGAGGTACATGGAAATGCTTTGAGCACAGAATTGAAAAGCAGACTATTGTGTGATTCTTTTGGAGGAAGGGGAGAAGTCTCTAGGAGCAGTAAATCAAGAATTTCTCCTGAATTTAAAGAAATTCAGAGTATAATTCCATATATAATTTTTAATCCTCACCCAAGGATATGTTTTTATTGAGTTTTATGTTTTTTGTTTTTTTTTTTTTAGAGAGGAAGGAAGACAGAGAGAGAAACATTGATGTGAGAGAGACACATAGATTGGTTGCCTCCCACACATGCCCCAACCAGGTCAGGCATCAAACCTGCACTTGACCAGAGAATCAAACCTGTAACTCTTTGATGTGCAGGCTGATGCTGTACCCACTGTGCACACCAGCCAGGGCTCAAGTATGTTAATTTGCAATAAGGTTTTGGGAATAAGGAATCAGAGTAGGAAAGGAGATACTGGAATGGATATTTCATATGTTGTGTACAGCATTATTAGTGTGGGTGAGATTTATTTAGAGCACATTGTCAAGGGAAAAACCAATTACATTATTCTACTTAATTTAAGCTTGAAATAATTAGGTAGGGCATTTAGGCTAGGTGGTCTTTATTGTACCATTGTTAGAACTTTTCATTTTAGTAAATATTAAACGATAAACTTTAAATACTGTTAAAATATGCCAGAAATAAACTGAGTTCCTGTTATGCATATAGGTGGTTTTGATTTTTTTTCTTTCTTTATTTTTTTCAGAGTGCTGCTGCTACAGCTGCCACCTTAGCACTCCCTGCAGGTGTGACTCCTGTTCAACAGATATTAACAAATTCAGGTAATTAGAAATAGTGGAACCATTATATATGTATAACTTTGTAAGACAGAAAATCTTATTATTTCTTTTACCATTTGGTTTAGCTTATTAAAATAAGATTATTCGAGGGCTATAGCACATATACCGTATTATTGCTGAGAGTGCAGTACAGAAGATGAGAACTGTACTTGAGTTTTTGATCCTTGAATGAGAATTCTATTATTGAATGAAGTTTGATTGTATAGAAATGCTTATTTATTTAGTTTTTTGATAAACTCATTTAACCTGCCAAATAAGTTAAATTTGAGTCATTAGAACTAATTTGTGATACCAAACTAACACTTAATGCTTATGGTATCTTAACAAGTTTATTGCATTCTATTTTACATAGTATCTCTGTGTAGACTGACAAAATTTACTGGGATTTTTGGAATATTAATGTTTGAAGAACTTACATGGACTTTAAGTATTTTCTTTATAATCTTAATTATGTAATTTCTCGTTATTTTGTTAATTTCTATATTTGTGAAGAACAAACTAGGGCAGTGATGGCGAACCTATGACACGCTTGTCAGAGGTGACACGTGAACTCATTTTTTTGGTTGATTTTTCTTTGTTACATGGCATTTAAATATATAAAATAAATATCAAAAATATAAGCCTTTGTTTTACTATGGTTGCAAATATAAAAAAATTTCTATATGTGACACGGCACCTGAGTTAAGTTAGGGTTTTTAAAAATACTGACATGCCGAGCTCAAAAGGTTCGCAATCACTGAACTAGGAGCTTATCTTGCTATATCTATATTTATAAAAGCCTAAGTAACCGTTACGACCAAATAACCAGTTGACCTGTAGCTATGATGCGCACTGACCACCAGTGGGCAGATACTCAATGCAGGAGCTGTTCCCTGCTGATCAGTGCACTCCCACAGCCAACCTCCCACAACTGGCCAACCTCCCACAACTGGCCAACCTCCAATGGTTCCTCCTCGATTGCCCTGATTGTTGACCAGGCTGAGGGACTTCACCTGTGCACGAATTCGTGCACTGGGCCTCTAATATTTTAATAAAATATAATTGTTCACTTTTTTTTCCCAGTTGTTCACTTTTTAATTAATTCAAGATTCTGGGTCGTTTAAAACATCATGTAAGAAAGATTCAGTTTTGTATGTATAAGCCAGTCATGCTATTAATGTTTTGTGACAATGATAATTGGTTCAGCAAACTTTAATTATTTTAAACATTTTTGAAGCTAAATACTATGGTTCTTTGGTTCAAAATATTAATGAACTATTATACTTTTATTTCTTTAAAGCTTTAAAAATGAACAGCCTTGAAATGTCTGATATGACATATTGCTCTCATGATTCCTAACATGTTAGCAAAGATAATGTAAGCTTTTAATCAACTCATAATCTGCTGTTAGAATTTTGTTGGAAGACAGCTTTGTAAGAGTGATAAATAAGGAAAATAAAACATTTTAAGCAATGTATTTGAACATGGATGGAAGTCAGTAGTTAAGGATTATAGTTTACTGTGTTTGGATGACAGCCTTTAAAACTTAGTCGTTTGACTTGATAATTTCAAGAGCCTTTGGTGGTTAGACATTCACTATGAATTCATTTATTTGAGACAATAACTTGGAATACATACTTTTTGCTTTAGGCCAGCTTCTTCAAGTGGTCAGAGCAGCCAATGGTGCTCAGTATATTTTTCAGCCTCAGCAGTCCGTGGTTCTACAACAACAGGTTATACCACAAATGCAGCCTGGTGGAGTACAGGCTCCTGTTATACAACAGGTAAAAATGATCAGCATGGGTTCTTTTTTCTTCTTCTGTATGAATTCTGTAGGTGGTTCCCTTCCCTTTTTTCATAGCTTTATCTACACAAATTCTTAGACTCTTCTGCAGTATTACACACCTTGTCATTCTAAATTTTTATATAACTCACAGCTTAATTTTATTCAGTATGTTTAAGACTAAATTGATGTTATCCCTATTCACCACTCTCTATCTAGCCTCCTAAGCTAGTTATTCATCATCATTCAACAAGCATATACTGTGTGGCTATAAAATAGGATTTCTGCAAGGGACTGGAGATTTAGGCATGAACAAGGCAGGCATGAACCTGATTCATGATATCCAAAGTATCAAAATCCTACCAATTTATAAAAGTTCTTTCTTTTCAGACTGCAGTTTTAACATATGTACAGTTTCTTAATATGTTTAAAACTAGCTTTCTCAGACTCTTGTTGTTTCCTTAGTTCAGGCTTTCATACTTTCTCCCTTAAAATACTGTATCAGGTTAATGATGCGAATTTTTTTCAATAGATGGAGTTACATGTGTTGATGTATATGCGATTTGATATATATGCCATTTTGTTGTATTGACAGCAAGCTTCAAAACTTCATATGGCAAATTTTCTGAAGGTGTTAACATCATAGATATTTTTACGTTTAAAAATGTCGAATTTTGTGCCAAAAAAAGAGCATTTGCGGGAAGTTTTAATTCATAATTTTACTAGTATTTTGAAGAAAAGTGCCGCTGAAAGTTTTCGTATTCTTTGGGAAGCTTATGGTGAACATGCTCCATCTCAAGATACTTGTGAACACTGGTTTAAACACTTTAAAAGTGATGATTTCAATGTGAAAGACAAAGAACGTCCAGGTCAATTGAAAAAGTTTGAAGACCAACAATTACAAGTATTATTGGATGAAGATGCGTGTCAAACTCAAAAACAACTTGCAGAAAGATTAAACATTGCTCAGCAAACAATTTTCAATCATTTACAAGCAATGGGAAAGAGATTTTAAAGGAAGGAAAATGGGTGCCACATCAGCTGAACAAAAGACAAATTGAAAACGAAAAGTCATCAGCAAAATGTTGCTTCAACAGCACGAAAGTCTTTTTTGCATTGAATTGTGAGGGGCGATGAAAAGTGGATTTATTTTGAGAATCCCAAATGCACAAAATCATGGGTTGATCCAGGTCAACCATCAACATCAACTGCAAGGCCAAATTTAGTTATCTGCCTGGTGTTCTCGTAACATATCATCCTTCTGTTACATCTTCTATCTTTTTGAGTTATTTCTTTGTCTGTTGCACTACTAATCTGTAAACTTCTTAAGGGAAATACTATCTCATTATTTTTGCATTCCTTGAACCTAATGGCAAGTAGTTGCCATTCAGTGCTTTTAATTTATCACTAGACATTATCTACTTATTATTTATTAACTCTAGTTATAAATGTGTTCATTGTAACATACAATTAATATTTGTTAATGTGTTCTATTTTAAAAATATTTTTATTGATTTCAGAGAGGAAGGGAGAGGAAGAGGGGGGTAGAGAGAGATACATCAATGATGAGAGAGAATCGTGGACTGGCTGCCTCCTGCGCGCCCCACACTGGGGACGGAGCCTGCAACTCGGGCATGTGCCATTGACCAGAATCGAATCTGGGACCCTTCAGCCTGCAGGCCAATGCTCTGTCCACTGATCCAAACCAACCTAGGGCTATTAATATGTTCTTTTAAAGTTGTGGTTTATTTTAGAATCTTAGAATGCAGAAGTTGGAAGGAACTTTAGAAATCATCTGATCTGGTAGTTATCAGCTGTGGATACATGATTAGGAAGATGAAAAGATTTTATCTCACTCCTATATTACATAATAAAACCCTAATCTGCAAATTGACTGAACGGAGGAACAATGGGTCGCTATGGGGGAGCACCGCTCAGCCAGAAGCTGGGCTCACGGCTGGTGAGCGCAGCAGCCGTGGTGGGAGTCTCTCCTGCCACTGTGGCAGCACTAAGGACTCCTTGGGGGATGTCCGCTTGCTGGCTTAGGCCCGCTCCCTCCAGACATCCCCCGAGGGTTCCCGGACTGTGAGAGGGCGCAGGCTGGGCTGAGGGTCCCCCCCTACCCCCAGTGCACGAATATCGTGCAGCAGGTCTCTAGTTAAATCAGAATATTAGGCATGGAGCGTGCATATCAGTATTTTTTAAGCTACCAGGTGTTTATAATTTATAGCCGGTGTTAACACTGATCCTAGTCTAATAGTAAGGTGACTACAGGCAGTCCTTGGGTTACTTCGGACTCGACGTACATCGTTTCTTGGTTACGTTGCTATCTCCCATTTACAGTATTTATTTAAAAAAAGTTTCATCATTTTGACGTATGTACATATGTACTTTATGTTTTTTATTACTTATTTACCACAAGTAAAGGTCAGGAATTGTTATCTTTCTTTTAAATTTTTTTTACTGTTTCACTTCATTACTGCTGTGTATGTGCTCCATGTGAGTGACGTAGGTGGGTTCCGACTTAAGACTTTATGTTGCGCCGTAGGAATGGATCTCCAACGTAACCCGAGGACCTACTGTAAAGCCAAGAGAAGTTAAACAGCTTGTCTCTGCTACATCTGTATCTGTGATCTTATATAAAACTGAACTCAGAAGTTCATATTTTCAGTGCAGGGTTCTTCATAGAGAGGCAATGTAGCATCATAATAAATTAAGAGAGAAGTAGAAGCCTAGGTTCACATTTTGCCTTTTGGTGACTACAGGCTTAGAAAGTTACTAAACCTCTCCCTACATCAAGCAAATAAACTACTAACTTGTGTAACTCTTGGCCTGGAATCTGGCATTAAAATGCTTGACAAGTGAAGTAGTTATCTGCAGAAAATCTTTTTTCCTAAGAAATTTGAATTGTAAAATGGAAAATTAGTGGATCAGCACACTAGTGAAATATTTCTTTGTGCCTTTCTAATTTTAACTATTTATGAGATATGGTCATTTTTGGTGTTTCTTAAGCATTTGTATACCAAGTAATGAAACAGCTCCTGGATCCTTTTAATTAGTTCCTAACATTTGGTTTTCTTTTCCTTAGGTTTTGGCCCCTCTTCCTGGAGGGATTTCACCACAGACAGGTGTCATCATCCAGCCTCAGCAAATCTTATTTACAGGAAATAAGACTCAAGTTATACCTACAACAGTGGCGGCACCTACACCAGCACAAGCACAGATAACTGCAACTGGCCAACAGCAACCACAGGCCCAACCTGCTCAACAACAGGCTCCATTGGTATTGCAAGTTGATGGAACTGGGGATACATCATCTGAAGAAGATGAAGATGAGGAAGAAGACTATGATGACGATGAGGAGGAAGACAAAGAGAAAGATGGAGCTGAAGATGGGCAGGTAGAAGAGGTAAGTTTCTAGTAAAAGACTTGAAATTAGAAGCTATGCAACCATTTCTTCTTTTACGTGGTGCCAAACTTGAGTTATATCCTATTTTTTCAGAGGCTGTTAGGCTACATTACAACATAGGATTTTAAATATAGTTAGATTGTTCTAACTTAATAAGGTTTTATATTGTTCTGGTTGCATTTATCTTTATAAAATATTGTTCATATAGCTGTTAATAAAAATGAATGTATACCAAAGTAAGTTTTATTTATAAAGGTGATGGAGACTGCAAGTAATTCTAATTCTTTGGTTTATGCATTCATGATTAGGCTTACATATAAAGACATTGGTAGAACAGATAGTTGTGGTTAATCTCTTATTTCAGCAATTAAAGGGACGGCAACTTTTGGGAAAAATGGAAATGAGAAAAAAGCTAAATGTGGCAGATATTTTTCAGAACCTCCTTTTGGTCCACATTCCATAACATTTCCTTCGATAACCTCTTCTATTCTTAGTGTCTATCCTCAGTTGAACATCCTTTCTTATTTATCTTTTACTTATATATTAGAAGCATATAAATCCTTGTTTTTCTGTGTTGTAGCTTAGTTTTGTTCAAGGTGTTTGTCTTACCACAATTTTAATTGTTAATTTCCCTCTGCAGCCTCAGATGTAATTGTCTTGCTTATCTCAGTACAGCGTTCTTCTAAACTAATATTCTTTTAAATACTATTTTTATTGATTTTAATTTATTTTAAATACTGGTTCAAAATATTAATGAACTATTAGTATTTTAATAGTTCAAGGCATGCCTAAGGATTTTTTGTAATATATACAAATGAGTTAAAAATATTTTAAAATATAAATATCACAGTGTCCACATTCAGTTAAAAAAAATCCCATTACTTACTTAAAATCCCTAATCCTCTTCTTTTCACCATCTGAGTAACCATGCTCATGAATTTTGTGTTTATCATTAACTTTCCTTATATTTTACCATATGCATTTATATTCCTAAAGAGCATATTGCTTAATTTTGCATACTCATTTATACCTGTAATTATTTTCATTGTTGAATATACCATAACTTTTTTTAATTTTGATTTTTTAAAATATTTTTATTGATTTCAGAGAGGAAGGAAGAGGGAGAGAGAGATAGAAACATCCATGATGAGAGAGAATCATGGATTGGTGCCTCCTGCAAGTCCCCCACTGGGGATTGAGCCCACAACCCAGGCATGTGCCCTTGACCGGAATTGAACCTGGAACAGTTCGCAGGCAGATGCTCTATCCACTGAGCCAAACCAGCTAGGGCTCTTTAATTTTAATGTGATGACTTGTATCTACTTGTTTACTGTTGTAAAATATTCTAGTATGTGTCATCTGGAGACACATATGCAAGAGTTTTTCTGAATTGCCGAATCCTAAGGCATGTACATCTTCAACTTTACAATAAAATGCCAGCTGTTGTACTAAGAATACTCCTGCCATTCATTATATGATGGTGCATGTGTCTGCACATCTTCACCATACTTACTATTGTCAGACCTCTTTTGCTAGTCTGGTAGGTAGAAAATGCTGTTTCATTTTGGTTTTAATTTGCATTATCTTGATTTCTGATGAGGTTTAGCCTTTTCAATTCTTTTATGTGTTCTTTGTATACAGTCAAATCAAATATGAAAAATGACAGTTTTTCTTGCCTTGTTGGCTAAGCCCTCCAGAATGATATTTATTACAATTGGTGATGGCAGGCACCCATATCTTAATCTTAAAATAATCCTTTTTATAGTTCACTATTAATTATATTTACTACTAGAGGCCCGGTGCACAAAATTCATGCAGGGAGGGGAGTGTCCCTGAGCCTGGCCTGCACCCTCTTGCAATCCAGGACCCCTCAGGAGATGTCCGACTGCCACTTCAGTCGAACATCCCTCTCGCAACCCAGGACCGCTGGCTCCTAACCGCTCGCCTGCCTGCCTACCTGATCGCCCCTAACCACTCACCTGCCTGCCTGATTGCCCCTAACCGTCTCTGCCTTGGCCTCAGCTGCCACAGCTTCGTCTGGAAGGATGTCCGGAATGACACCCGGAAGGGCGTTCAGCTGTCTGGTCTAATTAGCATGTTACGCTTTTATTATTATAGATAGGCTTTTTGTGGATATCCTTCATTAGGTTAAGGAAGTTCCCTTCTGTTCAGATTAACTAAGAGCTTTGCTTTGTTTTCTAAACTATAATGATTGATGAATTTTATTAAACACTAGGTAGTCATGACTTCTTATTTATAATCTGTTATTTTTGATGAATTGCATTCATTAATTGTTTTTCTATTTTGTGTTCCTGGGATAATACAACTTGATCATTACATATGACTCTTTTTATGAATTGCTAAATTCCCTTTGTTCAGGACTCTTGCAAGTATAATCATGAATGACACAATCTGTAATTTTCTGTTCTCATACTTTTCTTACTATTTTCTTTCTCCATTAATTAGAAATCTGACTTGTATCTTTTATCTTCTGCCACAACTGAGGTCAAGTTTAACAAGTTGGTCATTGTATTTATGATCTTCTTGGTCTTTAATTCTTTTTGTTTGAGTCTAGTCCCCTCCCCCCCTCCCCCCGCCCACACACACACACACACACTCACTTTAAATCTAATGGTTTAATTAATTATACTCTAAGCCTTCGAGGTCACAATGGTAGATATGCTTATTTGTGTTTAAAATCCTAGTCCCTAATGTTAAGACAAACCAGACTGCTAGCCTATTTTATAGTGCTTTTCCCCTGCAATTTCACCATTGTTTTCTCTTTTTAAACCTAAGAAAGAAGATCCATGTCTAGACATATTTTTTTTTAAATATTTTTATTTCTGAGAAGAAGGGAGAGGGAGAGAGAGATAGAAACATCAATGATGAGAGAGAATCATTGATCAGTTGCCTTCTGCACGCCCCACACTGGGGATCGAGCCTGAAACCTGGGCATGTGCCCTGACTGGGGAATTGAACCGTTACCTCCTGGTTTATAGGTTGATGCTCAACCACTGAACCAATGCATCCAGGCCATGTCTAGACATTAAACAGCTATTACAGAGAATTATTTTGAAAGAATAAAGAAAATAAATCATTTTAGATTATATTAGTAAGTTATAGCTTAACTATTTTAATTATTGTATTTAATTTCTTGCTGGAATTTTAGTAGCATTGGTTAAGTCAACGCAGCCAATTAACAATATGTTAGTGATATACATACGTGTCTGTCAGGCCCTTAGTTCTCAAAGAACATCAAGGTCATTGTGTTTATTTTCATTGAATATTAGAGTTCTCAAAGCACATCATGGTTATTGTGTTTATTTTCATTGAAAATAAAGGGCCCTTTGCTAATAATGCATGAAGTATGAAAAAATAAACTTTTTATTTGTAGGAGCCCCTCAATAGTGAAGATGATGTGAGTGATGAAGAAGGACAGGAACTCTTTGATACCGAAAATGTGGTTGTATGCCAATATGATAAGGTAAGGATTTTATCATCAGATTTCTGACATTTTTTTCTGTTGTGATTACTTCCCTAAACCATCCTTTCTGCCTTGTTCAAATATTTGGGCAGCTGATTGATGCCTTTTATGTTCAGTATAAACAATGTGAATGAATGAAAACATTGTTATAGTTTAGTAGAAAATAGACTGAGAAATTAATACACTGAGAAATTAATTTGTGTAGCTTTATATTTTAAAAATAAGTTAGGAATGAAATCTTGGAGAGATTTGTTAAATCCCAACTTGTTAACAAAGTAAACAGAACTACTTTTGAATTGTCCTTTAACATGAACAATAGCTCAGTGGGATAATTCTATTTTTTTATTTAGTCTAAATTACCTCAAAACTAAAAAGTTTTAATTAAATCTCTGCAACTTTTTTTATTACTAAGGAAAGAACTAGGGTAATAAGACTAATAACTAATAAACATATACCTTCTTATTGAAAATTACTTTAAAAGTTATTTAACTCTGCTTATGAATTTTGGTATCATTAAGGAATTTTTAAATTAGGTTCTGTGAGAACTGGCTCTTGACTCCTGTTTACTTAATTCTTAAAAAGGGTGCTACTTTCCAAGTATTTTTGTTATAGTTATTGGCATTATTGTTGAGATTTTTGTTATTTATTAAACATTTAATTTGGAATAAAATTTGTTTTCTGACTACAGTAATTAAATTTATAATAAATCTATAAATTATATTGCATTTATAACTTCATTAATAAAATATCCATACTACCAGTCTATAGATCCAATGACATTTTCCACAGATACAGAACAGACAAACCTAAAATTGGTATGAACCACAAAAGACCCTTCAACCAAAGTAAATTTGAGAAAGAACAACAAAGCTTCAGTCCTCATGCTCCCTGAATTTAAACTGTATTACACAGCTATAGTAATCAAAACAGTATGGTATTGGAATAAAAACAGACACATAGATAAATGGAACAGAAAAGAGAGACCAGAAATGAACCCATGCATATTTGTTAGGACAAAATACCCAAGAATACAAAATGGGTAAATGCCAATCTCTTTAATAAATGGTATTGGGAAAACCTACCACTATCATACCATATACAAAAATCAACTTAAAATGAATGAAAGACTTGATTAAAACCTAAAACTGCTAAAAATTCCTAGATGGTAAGCTCCTTAACATCAGTTTGGTTTTTTTATTTGACAACAAAAGCAAAACTAATCAAGTGGGCCTACATCAAACTGAAAAGCTGCTGCACAGCAGAGGAAACAATAAAATGAAAAGGCAGCCTACTGAAAGGGAGAAAATATTTGCAAATCACATATCTGATAAGGAGTTAATATCCTAAATGCATAAAGGACTCATACAACTCAATAGCAAAAAATACAGTCTGGTTTAAAAATGGGGAGATCTGAATAGATAGTTTCCAAAGAAGGTATACGAATGGCCAATCCATAACTGAATAGGTCCTCAACATGACTAATCATCAGGGAAATACAAATCAAAACCACAGTGAGCTATTAACATTACCTATTAGAATGGCTGTTATAAAAAAAAAAAAAAAGGAAGTAACAAGTGTTGGCAAGGATGTGGAGAAAAGGGAACCTTTGTGCACTGTTGGTGGAAATGTAAGTTGGTACAGCTGCTATAGTAAACAGTATGCATGTTCTTCAAAAAATTAAAAATAGAACTACCATATAATCTTACAATTTCACTTCTGAGTATTTTTTCAAAGGGAACAAAAGCATTAACTGGAAAAGATGTATGACACCCATGTTCATTGCAACATTTTTTTTTAAATACAATTTTTTAATTGATTTCAGAGAAGAAGGGAGAGGGAGAGAGAGAAACATCAATGATGAGAGATAATCATTGATCAGCTGCCTCCTGCACACTCCCACACGGGATCAAGCTGCAACTAGGGCATGTGCCCTGATGGGAATCAAACCGTGATCTCTTGGTTCATAGGTCAATGCTCAACCACTGAGTCATGTGGGGCTGGGCTCATTGCAACATTTTATCCAAGCCATGGAAACAACGTAAGTGTCCATCAATAGATGAATGGATAAAGAAATAATGAGAATATATATATATATATATATATATATATATATATATATATA